GAGTAACCGATGACCCAACCGATCCAAGGCTGAGAAACGAAACTAGTCTCACTAGTTAATTAAAGTGGAGACACTACACAGGCATGAATACAAGGTCAGAGGTAACAAGGGGAGAAGCGAGAGGGAAGGAATGTGGCACCAACTTGTACACAGGTCAGGCAGGCGAACTTTAGGCTAATAATATGGCAGCGTAGCTGACGCAGTCCCTGTAAACCAGTTGTCACTTTCCCCCAAGGAACCCTGGGACCTGTAGTTTCGTGGTGCTGCTGAAAATCCTGTTAGAGGTCCCAGGTCTCTTAGGCCAAAGCCATGGCAATGAGCAGAGTTTACATGTTATGTGTATACAGAAAAAATAGAACTTTTATTAAATTTTATTTATTTATTTATTAGATTTGTATCCCACCCTCCCCAGATGGGCTCAGGCCGGCTTCCAACTGCGGCAAATGCCATAACAAACAATTAAAACAGTATAAAAACAATCAATAAATAAAGTGCGGTGCTCTAGATGTTGACTTATCGCTCCAAGATGGGATCCATTTATCAACCTGGCCTGACAACATGAGTTCTTGGTCCCCTAGGCGTCTTCCCAGGGCTGAATCACTTATAGATCTAATCCACCGTCATAGATGGCAACTCGGTGGTGCACAGTACACACCCTTCATGTACTCTCTTAGCAGAAACTGAAGGGCAGAATTTAATGTTACAAGGAACAGAAGATGGCTATCAAAAGCAATGATTGTATGTTGAGTTTTCCTCTTCCCCACATAACATGTAGTACAACCTTCTCCATGTCCTGAAGTCATCATGCTATTTTGCCTTGCCTCACACCGCATCTGAAGCTACAACATTGGTTAGTTATATGCTGAACTCTCTTACACTGAAATAACTGCTTTAAAATGTTCAACATTAGTTGTTTCAGACCTTCCCTTGATTTTCCCCTTGTGGTTTCCAGCTTCCTTTTTTTCATCCAGGCAATGACATCAGCTCTAGGCACTTTGCGTTGAACCTGATTATCTAAATTCATTTGAATCTGGCTTCTGGCCATGCTTTGAGACAGGGATTGCTTGGTTGTCCTAGTGACTGACGTGTGAGAGGGAGACTGGGGAAGGTTGACCATGTTGAATCTCCACTCAATAGCTTTTGATACTATTGACCATCATATATTTCTGGGTTGACCTCATGGGATGGGGCAGGCACTGTTGTATGGTGGTTTCACTCTTACCTGGTTTGTAAGGTAAGAATTTGGTTCTGTGAGCTGTAGCATCCTTTATCAGCAGACAACACAATCAGGTGATGTTGTGGAAGGTAACCCAACCCACAAGTTTGCTCTGAATATACATAAGGGAGAGGAAGAGAAGTAGATTGTAAGCCGCTTTGAGACCCCTTAACCTTGAGAATAGCAAGGTATAAATACCAGCATTTCTTCTTTGTGTGTGTGTATGTGTGTAATATTTTTTTTTACTCTCCCAGCTAACCATCCTGGTGTCCCACCATTCTTTGTGTATTAGCACGACAAAGTAGAGTTCAAGGGTCCATGCAATATAAGAGTCTTCCCTCCACATCCGCCATACTTATGGACATTTTATAGTTTATATAAAATTCAAAGTTGATAGCTGCAATCTGAAACCATTGCAGGCACAGTGGTAACTGTGGCAGACAGAGCTCTGTGAGTGCTAGCAATGGAGAAGCCCCGGTGACACACTGCCCCCCCCAATACATTTTATCAGATCAATTTAAAGATTGTCAGTGGCCTGGTAATGGAGAGGCAGACAGGTGTATGTATTTGATACACTGTGTATCTCCATAAACATTGCTACAATTACCATTTTTACAGAATTTTAGAGTACATAACATTCCTGTAAAGGGGGTCATTAATATGCCCATTTTATTTTTTGGGGGGAAATTACTTGTTACTGTGCCTTTTGGGCCAAAAAAGATCCCCAGGTCATCTTACAAAAGCAATGAATTTGATAAGCAGTATAATAATAATAAATAGACAAAATATTAAAATAGCAGCAGGATAAAACCAGGCAAAACAAGACACAAGAGGAAGCATTAAGACTGTCAAGTTGAAAGCTCTTCTGAACAGAAAGGTCTTCACCAGTTTTCAAAATGATAGAGCCAGAAGAGCTTCATGGAGGAGGGAGTTCCACAGGCTTGATGCTGCCACCATATTTTTCCACCCACCAAATCTCTGATGGCTGTAGGACAGGGGTCTCAAACATGCGACCTGGGGGCCAGATCAGGCCCCCGGAGGGCTTCTTTCAGGCCCGCAGTGGAACTGGCTGTCTTCTGCTTCTTCCAGTTCTGCTGCTGCTGTGTCATCACAGGTTTGCAGCTTACAGATACACACAGATGAACAGCATACTCAAGATTGCAACAGCACAGACATTTTGATGCAATAATTCAAAGCAAGAGGTGTCAGTTATCAGACACTGTTAAATAAACAAAATATTGCAAGAGTGCTAGTGTTTTAAGCATGTTTGTATTTTAAGTAAAAAAAACCTTTGTGTTTGTGTCCTTTATAAAGTTTATATCTCCGCTACCTGGCATTACATTTTATGACACACATGGCCCGGCCCAACAAGGTCTCATGTCAGATCTGGCCCTCATAACAAATGAGTTCGACGCCTCTGCTGTAGGATGTAGAGCAGGGCCTCTCCAGGTGATCTGAGCACATGGATGGGCTCATGTTGGAGAAGGTGGTCCTCGAGGTACACTGGTCTAAATTCCTTAAGTTTAATTTTACACACAAAAGGAGAATGAATAGTTCTGCAGAAATAAAGAGCTGCCATCTACCATCTGTCCTGCTAGTGTCCTCACATGGGTTGTAAAAGCAGCACAGCCACCTTTTCTTCTCTTTGCTAGTTATGAATTTTCTGAAGAGATAGAGAAAGTTAGTGAGGGGAGCAGAGAGAATAAGGGAAAGACAGGAACACTGAGAAGAATAATACCAACATGCAACATGGGACCTGTTTTTAAAGTTGTGTCTTCTGTCTGGAAAGGTTGAAGTATACTGCCTTGCAGTATATCTGAGGTCTTACGTTTATCTAGCCCGATACTGTCTGCTTTGCCTGGCCTGGCTGTATGGCTGCTGGTCTTCCCTGACCCCGTTCCATGAGATCAGGGGCTGAATTTTGGACATCTGTGAGGAAAATGTATGTTGTATTATTGACCAGTGTGGCCTGTCCCAAGTTCATAACTAGCATAGCTCTGGCACCCACATGTCCCCAGTTGTAGCCTCAGATTCTATCTGTTCAGAATTCCGTAGCGGCCTTCTACAGTGGTCAAGCGATAATTGTACATAATGCTCAATAAGACAATAGATTAGTCGACATAGGACCAAAACAGGAGTTTTATAATCAATTGATGCAAGGCCTGAGAAGATAGATGAGACCTCATAGAGTATTGCCTTGTGTCATGGTCAAGTATATGTATCCTGAGTATTGCTATTGTAAGCCCTCTTGTTTGGGTCCAGAAGATACAGAACCAATGTACACAAGGCAATACTCTATGAGACCTCATCTGTCTTCTCAGGCCTTGCGTTAATGGATTGTGATTATAAAACTCCTATTTTGGTTTTATGCCGGCTATTGTCTTATTATTGTATCATTGAGCCTATATGTACAATTATTGCTTGACCACTGAAGAAGGCCACTTTGACCAAAACGCGTCTGGTCGCAATAGGTCCCACTTGTGTATGTTATTTATTTATTTGATTTTATTTGTACCCTGCCCAATTAGGCCCATAATCGTTTTTAACTAACTGATAATTAATACATGTATTTTTGAGTATATTTAAATTATAATTATACTTTTTAGTTATTGGCTCCTTACTTTGTATGTAACTAACCTTTCAGGTACTTGATTCATTTGTTTGGGTTAAGTTTCCCCTCTCTTTTTTTTTTCTCTTTCCTTCAGAATTCCATAGCACATACTGTATGAATTTGACTGAAGTTTTAACAACACTGGTGTGTGTGTGTGTGTGATGTCTACCACGGCCTGTGGTTACCCCAATTTATAAGAAATGTAACGCTCTCCTTCCATCATTTATCCCCACTACAGGCATTGCCCTCTACCCTGGGAAGGCTGAACTGCTGACCTGTAAGCATCATTACTATGATTATATTTTGCCTTTGGTCAACCCAGGTCAGCCAGGAGAAATTGAGTGCACTACTCAGAGAGTCAACTACACAGATCCCTTTACTAATCAAACCAAGGTAATAATTCAAGTGAAGAATCAAAGTCCAAAGACACGGTTGATGTTCCATGGCTGTGAATTTTTCCAGGTTTTGTTTGAAACACCTTCGGCAAGTTAATCTTACTACTGTGTGTAAATAAGATTGAAGTGGAGAAAAGTCCTTTGCTGGTACATATGTGAAATCTGCTTAATTATGTCTACATTTGCCTATTGTTGAGACTGACTTAAGCTTACCACGCATGAGGCTGGCAGACCCACCCTAATTGCATCTCTTTAGAGAACCAAAGGGGCACACCGGCAGGAATGTGGACCTCCCCCTTCCCCTGTTGCCCACCACTCTTAATATTTCCTACATGACCTCTAGTACTGGAGCAGAGAGCCTGGCTGGGAGACATGCCAGACCCATAGCCAGGTGTGGACTCTAGTCCTGTAGTTGGCTCCCCTGCAGGGCTGGTTTCCTGTCCTTTTGTTGGACCCTGTCCACATCTTCTGGGTACACCAGAAGGTTTTTTTTTAAGTTTTAAAATGTTTAAAAATACTAATAATTTTTTTCCAGGAAGAAATCTTGTAGAGCTGGCCCTCTTAGGAAGGGGGCGGAGCCCAGAATAGCCCCACTGTAGCTATGGGCCTGAGACATACTCTTAAGGGCAGGAGGGAGAACAACAGACAGGAAAAGCTGTTCAGCACATCTCAGCCTTGCAGCTCGTTAAGTTACATCCCATCCTCGCTTCACATAGAAATGGGACGGACCCATGTTTAAAGACAAATGTCTTTAACCTTTACCTGTGGGTTAGAGCCTTGGAGGTGATGGCAATGGAGTCTTAGGCTGGAGAAAGATGGAACATACGAAGTGGATGGTTTAATAGCACCATTGCTCCCTGCAGTATCTGATTTGTCTGCCGCACTGTGCATTCTGTACAGACTGATCTTGCATGTTTTGGTGGCGTTCAGGCTGAACTGGGAAACCTTGATTCCTTCTCTTCAGGGTTCAGGCTGATATGTCTGTTATATAGATGGCTGCTGCAGGAACTGGTTGGCCCTCAGGTATGTCAGCGCTGGAGCCTCTTTCCTCTCAGCTTCAGTGACCAGCTATATTTTGGAGATGATGATACTAGCCTATCTTAGGCGGGGGTCACACACACTCAATAATCCACTTTCAATCCACTTTTAATCCACTTTCCGACTGGATTTTGCCAATTCATACAGTAAAAATCCAGTTGGAAAGTGTAGTGAAAGTGGATTATTGAGTTTGTGTGACCCCAGCCTGAGAGAACTTTCATAAGTATTACAAAGTAAGAAATGTGGGATGATATGAGCCCTTCAAATGCACTGAACAAATACTAACTGCTGTTACTATTCCCTGAAGTTCCCGTTAGTCAGTCAAGCTGTCTGATTTCCTAAGTCTCCTTTTGCTTGGAGTGTCAGTAATTCCTACACCCTGGTTATGTGGAAAGGCTGGCAACAGACACCCTTTTTTCATTGTATTTAACAGAAAATAACACTGCATTTTAAAAGGTTTAGGTATATGGGAGGTTATGTTTATTTTAGATCCAAGAAAATGTCTTTGCCCTGACTTGGTCCTAGTGATAAGCTGACTTTGGAGGCCAAGATTTCCTTTTGTCAACTCTTTGCATTTGCCTTCTGTCCTCCTCCTGCTCACAGAAACATGCTGTGATTGTCCAAGGTCCTCAGGAAGTGAAGAAACGAGAACTGGTGTTCATGCAGTTCCACCTAAATGAGACAGACCAAGATTTCAATGCAATAGACTACCTTCTCTTTTCCTCTTTCCAGGAATTCCTCAACAGGTATAGTCATGTTTTCTATCCAATAAGACACAAAAGCCTGGTTCCAGCTGTGCACAGCTCCTGACTGAGCAGTTCCTCAGTGGAACAGAGGTGGTGGGCTCCCATTCAGAAAGCAATGCTGATTCTTTGACTTCACATGAATTTAAGCAGACTGTGAGAGGTAGGGCAGGAAGGGATGAGCCAGTGCTCAGGTCTCATGGCCCTTTCTTACGTGTCCAGGGTAATGCTGATCGCCACTTTGGGATCAGGAAAGAATTTTCATCCAGGCCAGATTGGTCCAGGAATCCTGGAGGGTTTTTTGCCTTCCTGTGGACATAGAGCAGGGGCCACTGGGGGAATGGGGGGGGAGTAGCTGAATTTCCTGCATTGTGCAGGGAATTGGACAAGATGACCTTTGGGGTACCTTCCAGTCCTGTGTTTCTTGGGTCTCTATTCCCAGCTACAACAAGATGCATCTTGCCAATTCACTAGGACCCAATGAATGAGTGTTGCAGTGCAGATGGGACTGCACATCTGTAGTTGCATAACCTGTGTGAACATGGCTGTCCCTGTCTGAATCGAGGTAATAAATTGAAATATTTCTCTCCGATTCACACATTTCCAGCACAAAAAAAGGTATTTCACTGGTACAAAACTGTGAAACCTTGTGTTGGCGTCTCCAGTATGCTTGACCCCCCCACCCTGCAAGCCATGCAGGGCTTGTATAATTTCTTGTGTGCTATTTCAGATGCAGTGCGGTGTTGGGGTTTGTGGAGTCAGCACATGTGACACAGTAGGAATTGCTCTGCAAACACCTGGTGACACAGCACAGCTCCTGACTGAGCAGTTCCTCAGTAGAACAGAGGTGGTGGGCTCCCATTCGGAAAGCAATGCTGATTCTTTGACTTGACATGAATTTAAGCAGACTGTGAGAGGTAGGGCAGGAAGGGATGAGCCAGTGCTCAGGTCTCATGGCCCTTTCTTACGTGCCCAGGGTAATGCTGATCACCACTTTGGGATCAGGAAAGAATTTTCATCCAGGCCAGATTGGTCCAGGAATCCTGGAGGGTTTTTTGCCTTCCTGTGGACATAGAGCAGGGGCCACTGGGGGAATGGGGGGGGAGTAGCTGAATTTCCTGCATTGTGCAGGGAATTGGACAAGATGACCTTTGGGGTACCTTCCAGTCCTGTGTTTCTTGGGTCTCTATTCCCAGCTACAACAAGATGCATCTTGCCAATTCACTAGGACCCAATGAATGAGTGTTGCAGTGCAGATGGGACTGCACATCTGTAGTTGCATAACCTGTGTGAACATGGCTGTCCCTGTCTGAATCGAGGTAATAAATTGAAATATTTCTCTCCGATTCACACATTTCCAGCACAAAAAAAGGTATTTCACTGGTACAAAACTGTGAAACCTTGTGTTGGCGTCTCCAGTATGCTTGACCCCCCCACCCTGCAAGCCATGCAGGGCTTGTATAATTTCTTGTGTGCTATTTCAGATGCAGTGCGGTGTTGGGGTTTGTGGAGTCAGCACATGTGACACAGTAGGAATTGCTCTGCAAACACCTGGTGACACAGCTCCAGGTTTTCCTGGAGGAGGCTAATATACTGGATCCCTTTCAGTCTGGTTTTCGCCCTGCCCATGGGATGGGGACAGTGTTGGTCGCCTTGGGATCGAGGTGGATCGGCGATACTGATACTTTTTGATTTGTCAGCAGCTTTAGATACGGTTGACTATGATCTGTTGACCCATCACCTCGCTGATTTGGGGATAAGGGGGCTTGCCTTGCAGTGGCTGACCTCCTTTCTCCAAGGTCAGGGACTGGGGGGGATTATCTCAGCGACACCTACTAGAATGTGGTGTGCCACAGGGCTTGATTCTCTCCCCAGTGCTATTTAATATCTACATGTGCCCCTTCACTCAGATTATCTGGAGGTATGTGGATGATACCCAGCTCTATCTACTGATGGATGGCCACTCGGACTCTGCCCCAGAAAATCTGGACAGGGCACTACAAGCCATGGCTGGTTGGTTACAATGGAGCAGACTGAAATTGAATCCATTGAATATGGAGGTCCTGCACCTGGGTCGTGGGGGGATCGGGCTCCCAACCTTTGACGGGGCCCTACTGGTGCCAGCACTGAAGGTGAAGAGCCTGGGGGTATTCCTGGACGCCCTACTAACTATCGAGGCCTAGGTTGCTGCTACTGCCAGTTCCGCCTTTTTCCATCTGAGACAGATCAGAAAGTTGGCCCCATATCTCATCCACCAGGATCTGGCTACAGTGACCCATGCAATGGTCACTTCCAGATTGGATTATTGTAATTCTCTCTACATGGGGCTGCCCTTGATTCTGCGCTGGAAGCTGCAGCTGGTGCAGAACGCAGTGGCACAGGTGCTGACTTCCTTGTCTGTGTGGATGCGGATCCCGCCGGTGCTGTGTGATCTGCACTGGCTGCCTATTGAATACCAGATCCATTTCAAGGTGTTGGTGCTTACCTTTAAAGCCCTATACGGCGGGGCCTGCATATCTGTGAGACCGCCTCTCCCTCTATGAGCCCCGAAGGGCTTTGTGATCTGCCAACCAACATCTTCTGGTAGTCCCTGGCCCCAGGGACGTCTGTCTCACTGAAAAAGCCCTGGCCCCTACCTGGTGGAATGAGCTCCCATACGAGATCAGGGCCCTGTGGGACCTTTTACAGTTCCGCAGGGCCTGCAAGATGGAGCTCTTCCACCAGGCTTTCAGTAAGGGTGGCAGGCGTCCCCCTTCTCTACTGGGCCTCCCCTCAGCGGGTCAGATCTGCATTACCATCTAAGGACCAAAACTTGAAATAGGTGGCATCTGTGAGGCTTTAACTATCACTTGTACCAGAGGAATGTTGTTTTAACTGGTTTTTATTTCTTTGTATGCTATATATTATTTAGTGCGCATGATGAAACCGGCCCCAAGCCTGCTATGCGAGGAGGGCAGGATATAAATCCAAAAAATAAATTAAATAAGTAAAAATTATTGTTCCACTCTGGGCGTTATCGGCTGTACAAGGGGATATCCTTTTATTCCAGTTTAACTGTCATGATGTCCCTAAGAATCTTGGGAGTTGTAGTTTGGTGATAGTGCTGAAAATGTTGTGCTATAGGGAGATCTAGTCCCTCCCTTCCCAAGCAGCTCTTCCAGGAGTGACCTTGGGGAAAGGAAACGGCATCAAGCCATTTAAAGGCTGTGGCAAGGAAATGCCCATTGTTTCCCAGGCTTCCGTTTAACACTGACTTAGTGTAACCAGCCATGTGGTTAGCGGATGCCTTTGGCTCATAACTGGAGAAGGGCAGGGAAGCAACTCTTTGATGTACACATCCGTTTGCACCATAATAAGTAAGCAGCGTTTGCCCTCTCAATGCGTGTGTGCGCGTGCATGACGAAATTCTATCCCTCTAGGAAATAAAGCAGCACACGATATGTTTCGGCAGGCTGCAAAATGAGCCTTTAACTAAGCGTTCTGAGTAAAATGCTGCATCTAAGTGAATTCTGGCCAATTGACTGCTTAGAAGCTTTCCATATAAATGAAGCTTGGTGTGAATCATACTACAGAATCCGCGTGTTTCCTTTTGCGGGGAGGGGGAGTGTTTCACATTGGCTGCTTTGGTAACCTATAATTAGCCTGTATGGAAAGGCTTTTCAAAACGAAATGGGTAAGACTGAATAATTAAGAGGCCTGCCAGGCTGGTAATGGAGCTAAAAGCTCTTGCAGACGCAGTTGATGGAAGCATTCATTGCTGCATAAATCACATTTCCATCAGGAGCTTCCTCAGATAAGTAACTTGTCTGGAAACACAAAATTTCCACTTGGCAGTAATATTTTAAAATAACCTTTCCAGATGTTTTTTATAGTGCACAGCTATGATTCAGTTGTTGGTGAGATTTTGATGTGTATCCTCAGGGAAGTGTTTCAGTTACTGGAGAAATTGTCTCTTCACAATACAGGAAGATGTAGATCAGAGGTGTCAAACTCATTTGTTACGAGGGCCAGATCTGACATAAATGTCACTTTGTTGGGCCAGGCCATGTGTGCCTTAAAACATATTGCCAGGTACCAGAGATAGAAACTGTATAAAGGACAGCAGCTGGAAGGCTCCGAGTTGGTGCAAGGCCCCGTGGTCTGGGAGGGGGGTGCAGAGGAAAGCCCACATAGGCAGACTGTAGAGCCAGCAGTGCAGCAATGGGCAGATGTTCCCATGATGCTTGACTGTGCAGACGAGGTTGTTCTGCCATGCTGAGGCCACAATGGATTGGCTCCGCCCACTCCCCCCCCAGTACTACCACCCTTGCACCAGTTGCTCGCAGGCCGCATAAGAGCTCTGGACGGGCTGGAACCAGCCCCCGGGCCTTATGTTTGACACACCTGCACTAGGAGTTTTCTAGCCTGGAGTTGGCAATCCCTGTCTCCTTCCCACCCAACAGCCAACCTACTTATATCTGCCCTTCTCTCTTACATTTTCCCTCTCCCTCACCCCAACAGCCTCTACCTAGGAAAACTGTGGCCCAGTTGTGTGGTGTCAGGCCCACTTGCATGGTAGGGAACCCTCCTCGAGAGCCACATGTTCGCCACCCCTGCTCTATATCCTCTCCACTATTTCCTCTTCCCCTTCTCCTGGCAACCCCCATATCCTCTCCCCTTTTCCTGCCTCATTCTCTCCTTCTCAGCCATTCTCCACTGACCTTTTTTTCCATGTCCCATCTTCAGCTATATTTATTTACTTCATTTATACCCCACCATTCTCCACAGTGGGGACCAAAGCAGTTTACATTATTTTCCTCTCTTTTTTATCCGCACAACAACCCAGTGAGGTAAGTTAGGCTGAAAGTATGTGAGTGATCCAAAATCACCAGTGAGCTTCCACAGCAAGATGGGGATTTGAACCTGGATCTTCCAGATGCTACTCTGAATCTCTAACTGCTACACCACACTGGCTATCATAGGATGGCTGCTGTTGAACAGTAGCAAGCAGCCAGGCTTAATTG